TGACTGTATCCCAATCCTTGGATCGGTATGATGATGAAAGGAAGTTGTGGCATAATAAGTTGGGGAAAGTGAGCGAGAAGGGGTTGTTTGGTGGAGATGCAACTCGAAATGCTAAACCTGGTTAAGCTTGTGTTCAAGAGATACAACGCAGGGTGAAGTTCCGTTCAGTTCAACACTCAAGCAAGGAGATCCTAGAGTGTGTTCACTTAGATCTATAGGGTCCTTCTCTTGTGAAATCTCATGGTTGATGTCAATACTTTGTGAATTTTATCGATGATTACTCAAGGAAGACCTCAGTGTACTTTCTAAAGACAAAGGACCAAGATGAAGTGTTTGGATGGTTCATGTGAAAACCTGTAAAATACAGCCATAACTGTCGTTGGTACTTAACAATGAAACACAGAAACATAAAAGGGTGGTCTTGTAATCCCCTAATATACTCAAAATCTAAATCTCGTCAACATTTAAGACTCAAAAATTATGCACGAAAAAGTATGTCCACTTGAAAGTTGGTTTATATTTTTAGAATATACCTATTACCGCGATCCCAGAAATATAAGCCTCATAAAAATCTGATTCAGTATGAAAGGGATATGACTTTATTTGTAACACCCATAAAATTTGAGCCAATTTAAAACTTTTAAATCATTTAAAAAACTACTTAGTTATTACAATTTGTTTTCAAAATAGTTTAAACATCAGAGTTCCCAGAAATCATAATCACCAAACGGGGAAGTGTACGGTAACGCCTTCGCCTTCCCGCGGCCATCCGCTGAACCTGAAACAATAAACTGAAACTGTAAGCCCGAAAGCTTAGTGAGTTACCCCCAAAATACCCATACACACAACAATACGCATACAATAACAACCAGCATGCTATGGATCCAATCATCCATCAGGATGGAATACCCCAGGCCCTCAACCATTGGGTTGGAATGCCAACATACCGATACACTTCACATAACAATATACAAATAACAACATGTATTGGGTCCACAGCTTTATAGACTGGATTACCCCTGGTCCCACAGTGTGAGTCTGGATTGCCTTTCGGGCCCACAGCTCACATCTGGATTGCCACCAAGCCCACACTACGAGTCTCCCTCAGCTCGTATCTGGAATGTTCCCGAGTTTGTTGGTTACCGCACGGAGCAGTTTCTCCTCAACCCATCCCACATAATATGTCGACATATAACACAAATAATGCACATGCAGATAATCACATGATACTACAGGTAGTCCTACAGATCTACCAAACTGGCATAACAACTAGCATGCAGACAGTCAGACCAACTATAGGTCACTAAGCATAACCACATCCGATCTACCAGGATACCGATCTAACAGATCATACTATCATATAACCATCCTATCTACCAGGATACCGAACTAACATGTCACAATAGTAATAATCCCAATAACAAAACCAAGGGTCGGCCTTGGTGCCTTAAACCTTGAGTACAGTGAGGATAATTCACCTCGCAAGTAGCTTGGAAGATAGTGTCAAACTCCTCCAAATGTAACTCCAACTCCCACACCTATATTCACCAATGTCCTTTGCTATAAATATCCAATTTACCAAAATACCCTCAGAAGTCAACTAGTCAACCCTTGGTCAAGGTCAAAGTCAACTGCCAAGGTTAACAGTCCATGTTGACCTCAACTCGTCGAGTACCCTCAGTTACTCGCCGAGTTCCTTGCATAACTTGCCAACTCGCCGAGTCACTTGTCTGACACGCCGAGCCCAAGGCAATCTTCATCGGACTCACCGAGTCACTCTACTGACTCGCCGAGTCCCTTTGGTCCTTCATCCATACAGATGCTTTTTAAGCCATGCTAAGGCTCCATACTGCAGATCCAACTTCCCAAGGCATGCCTATCATGTAAAGTTGTAAACTTTACGTGCATGCAAGGCTCTAGTGACTCATAATGCCAAATCCAAACTTGAAATGGGTTCTAACTCAAATGGAAGGTTTCATACATGACAAGGCTAGAAACTTTATGAACCTAGATCCCAAGGAGGGTTCAGATCTGAAGTTGCAATTTCAGATCCAACTCATACTCAACAATAGCTTCATAACCAAGCCAAAAAGCCCTAAACTTCATCCACAGAGATCTAGAAAGAAATGAGGCCAAGATCATGAATTGATACCTCAATTGAAGCTAACTGAGATAGATTTTGTAGATCTACACGAGTCCCTTGCTGCTAGCTACTTGACCTTCAAGCTCCCTTCACAAGTTCCACCTTCTAAAGCTCAAAAACACACTCACATGAAGTTCTTACACGAAATAGGGTTTGCTGGACTCTCTAGAGGCTGTAAGGGACTAAGGGAGGCTAATGATTCCTTAAATAGGGTGCAAAACCCCGAAAATTAGGGTTTCACCCTCCGGCTCCAACTCGTCAAGTCACTCTTCCGACTCGGCGAGTTGGTCACTTAAACACGTGGCCCCAAACCCTCTGCTACTCGACGAGCCAGGGCATCCAACTCGTCGAGTAGGCCTTGAAACTTGAAAATTAAAGCCATAATATTAATACCTGAGAATCAGGGCGTTACATTATTTGTAAATGAAAGTCTATCGTGCATGAGATATTACAATGTCAAAAACTACGAGGAGAACGGCTGATCTTTTTTAAAAGTCACCAAATGACGAAACATAGTACTACTCAAAGTAGGATTTAAGAGACAAAGAACTCCTAAAATGGAAAACATGTGAAAGACTTATGATTTTTATGAAATCATAAAAGATTATAAAATACATGCTAAAAATGAAAGTCAAAAGTTTCCAAAATGACCAAAAGGAAAGTCGTAGTAAACGTCGAGGCCTACATGGATATATATAATAATCGTTGAAAATTGAGTTCGTATGCGAGAGTTACAAATTTTTGAAGTTTATAAAAAGATCTCGCATGCACCCGCGCACAGCGCACGACGTGCATTCTGACACCCCGATTCTCCAGGATACGGATGATGTGGCACCATAAGAAGAGGACACGTCTCAGCACTGGGTGGTTCACGTGCACTGTGCGACATGTATCACAAAAATCCCTAATAAATAGCAAGCTCAAACTGATCCTTTCTCACACCTCAACACACACCACACTCTCTCAATTTCCATGCCACTGACTCCCGAAACGCCTCTCGAGTTCCGGACTCCCAAATTCTACCTTACATCAATGGTTTCATGAATCACAAGTGAGTTCACCACCCTATTTTTCAAACATTTTTCGGGGGTAGGGGGTAGGGGTAGGGGTAGGGGGAGGGGAATACATGTTAAAATGCAACTATTACATAGTTATAACTAATTATAGTTAGATAATTATGCTCATAAAATTAGGATGATATTATGCCTGGTAGATACTCTGCCTAAATATTTTAGCTAATATTATGCCTAGTTATTATACTGATTCACATTGGTAGATAAGATCATATATAGTTATTACGTTGGTTAGTTGCCAGAAAACGCTAATACTTTAGTTGATATTATAGCCACCCTTTGGATAAGCTTATTACCTAGTGGTTACTCTGCCCAAATACTCGGTTATGCAAAATACACTATA